TTATGAACTCTGTTGAACTCTCTCTGATTAACATGCTATGAACTATCACTGAATAATGACTGACGTTTTGGTCTGTTTTTTTACACAAAGCTATTGTATGGCTTCAGAAGATTTGAAATGCAGCATAAGTTGTATTAACAACTGTAATGCTTCTGCCTCAGTCTCAGTCCTGTACAGTTCATTATATCTCCTTTTGTGTTCCATGGAAGAAAGATAAATCATACATATTTGGACACGAGTCTGGGTAAATAATGACAATTTTCTGAGAAAACATGAGAAACATAACATGAAAGAGAGAGACACTATCAATTATCATAATTGTTCTATCTAGCAACCGGTCCCCTGTGTTTATGTTTAGTATGTGTCTTGATAAAATGCATAAATAGTAATTAATTAGCAAATTTTCTGCCCTGTCTGTCTTTAAACAGCTTCAAAATTATTTCAAGAAAGCTGCCTAAGACCACAACAAATATGTTGCTAAAATAACTAATAATATTTAATTTGAGATTTTAATACGTACAGTGTTAATTAAATTGACTTCTTTTCTTGTTGTTGTTTTGTTTGTCTGGTATGAAAAAGCTATATTAAAGCGGTTTAATATTGCTCCCCAGTGCTGATTCTTTTGAATAATCATGGTTGGTAATAATGATATGTTTTGCAATGCAAAACACTCACATATTCCTTGCTGTCAGACTGGCTGTGAAAACAGGGGAGGAGTTTCAGGCTTTAACCCTCTGTCTTTGTTTAATTCTCACACAGTCGCTGCCACTTGCTCAGCTTTGTATAACGACGTAAAAGAGAACTCAAGTACTGAGAACCTGTGTTTGTCTGTGTTTTGTGATTTTGACGTTGCTGTTGTAATGCAAAGTCTGTAGAGAACTGGTACAATTTAAGATGAATTTGTCATCTTCAAAAAAAATAAAAAATAAAAAAAATTCAATGGATGTTCCCTAGAAAGAAATGGAGCACAAAAGAAGAAGAGAGCAGAAGTACGTTACAAACACAGACAGAAGTGAGAGTGTGACAAGAAAAGACAGATCACAAAGACAGAGTCTGTGTGAAGAATCCTTCACGAAGGCAGTCGAGGACACCTCTGCATTTGCATTTCGCTTTTTACATTTAGCAGATCTCATTAACCTGTGCTGAAACTGGCAGAAATTCATATGCATTCTGACACATGAAGAAGCCATTCCCATATGCTTTTCATCATATGCTCATCCTCTTTGTTTTCAGATCTTATACATCGACAATGGTTGCAGAGAGACGGTGAAATGTCCCTTGTGAGATGACAAACTCAGCTGGAAGAGCTATAATTACATGGAGTTGCCTCCATTTGTGTGGGTTACATGTGGTGAGCACATACAGTACTTAACCGGCAAAGAGTGTAGTAACAAAATATGCTGATATTATGATCAGAAAGTGTACCACTACACAGTTTTAGACATTTTGATCATTTATAATTGGTCTTGTTTTAAAATATGATGCTTGCTGTGACATCTTATATTTACTGTAGAAATTTCAGCTGTGATTGCCAGAACTTTACTTAAAAAAATAAAAATACAGTAGCAACATTTTATTATTATTTTCATTATTTTTCTCTTTATTTATTATTATAAAATACAGACAACCACCTTCAAAACATCGTAAAAAGAAAATCACATGATGAATTAAAGTTCATTACAAGTAGCTTTTCCACAAGCTGAGGTAAATACTAAAATATAGAAGGTGCATGGGATCATACACACACACACACACACATACATAACACAACGTAACACAAACACATGACACTAAAATGATGCAATAAACATTCATTTAATATCATAAGATAATATACATAACTGATAAGAAAAAAACTAGTTAGAAATAGTTATTTCAATGAAAGTCCATCATGTGAGAATTCTTTATTTATTTTTTTCTTTTTTTCTTTCTGTAATTTACAAGATGACTTGTTCTTTTCACATCCTAAAATTGTACATTTAACAATATTTAACTGTAAAATCACATGTAACATCTCAATAGGTCTATTACAGATTTTAACCATATAAAGTAAGTGAAATTACAATTAACAGGTTTTGATAGCAGCATTTTTACAGTCTTACTTTTTTTTTAATTACAATCATTTTTTATGTATTCATTCATTTCTGCTAAAGGAAAAACACAACCGAACATTGACCCCTAGAAAGTTTTAAACCCTTGAAGACCTTTTCCCACCAACTCCTCCTGTCATGACATCTTAGCATAAAGCTTAAGCCCCGTGGATGTTGAGCTGAGCTAAAAATACAGAGTGAGAGAAGAAAATAAATGTAAAAAGAAGTAAAATAGGTGGATAAAACAATAGCAGTGCATATCAACTCAAACTGACTGTGGCGAGTGACTCCGGGGGTTAAGGATTCTCTTCAGGTCATTAAACATTTCATCAGGCGACAGGCGGCGTGGAGAGCGCATGAGCCTTGCCACCAAACACACGTTTTGTATATTTCTATCACAGGCTCCAGATTTGCCCCTCTAGCCTCTCCACATACATTGGCATATGTGAAAAAGGCTTCACATGTACCCATGCCAGACAGATCTGTATGCAGCCTCTTTATTTTGATGCTGTTGGGTTTGACCAACTGGAGGGATGACTAACTAAGATCTGGTCCCATCTGGTGGCCTCCTAGTCATATAGGCCCAGTTTGGACTTGGACTACGTTTTTCTATAAACAATGTTTCTCATTTTAAAGGAATAGTTCACCCAAAAAATGAACATTTTCTGAAACTCTACTCACCCTCAGGAAATCCAAGATGTAGATGAGTTTGTTTCTTCATTAGAACAGATTTAGAGAAATTTATCATTACATCACTTGTTCACCAATGGATCCTCTGCAGTGAATGGGTGCCGTCAGAATGAGAGTTCAAACAGCTGATAAACATTACAATAATCAACACGATACTAGACCATCAATTAATATCTTGTGAGGCAAAAAGCTGTGTTTGTAATAAACATATTCTTTATTAATGTGTTTGTAGCTTTAAACTTTAATTAAATTAAAATGAATGTTTTCCGTTTTAGTGGCCTACATTTTTATTTTCAGTGCGTGTGTTAGCAAAGACCAAACAAGATGCAGGTGTTTCTGTGAAGATGATTACATTTTAGAATGATGTTGCACATAATTTAATTCAAGAGATGACAATTGAACTGGCAGTTTCGAAAGATAATATTTAGAGAATTTTTTTTTTTAAAGAACATCTGAAAATCCCAAGGTGCTGGTGCACACACCAGTCAAAATGCATATGCAACAAAGTAACTTGCATATTATACAATTATAAAATATTAATGTCATCTTTAAACAGAATAAGGCATCATCTTGCCACTATGATCTGACACATTGATTTTAATCATAACATAAAAGCTTCAATTAATTTGCTCTAAGCTGTCAATGAAGCAGAAAACTGTAACATCTTAATATTGTTGACAGGTTTAGAGGCCTATAGGGATGTCTTGTCTACTATATAGGTGTAGTATTATGCAGAATGTGAGCTAGGGAATATTAATACTAATAATAGCTTTTAAAGTGTGTGGGTGTTTTTTTCAGTTGCTGTATGTCATTATGAATGACTGGTTTGTTGAAGATCAGAATTACCATATGAATATCATAATAAGACCTAAATAAAAATTAGATACACATGCATACAACTGAGCCATTTACAAAATATTTCATTCATTTCAGTAATGTGAATACTAACAATATGCAAAAGACAATATATATTTTATTCAGAGTGTGATTACTTGTATATGGCAGAGGGGGGCACCCAAGGTAACAATATTAAATGCCCAGCAGGTCCTGATAATACAAAGATCGTCCACATGGGGGCGTCACAGAGGTCAAAATCACTGTCCCCTCAGAGCAGCAAAACCACAAAGTGATGAGATGAGTGCACATAATGTGCCTTATCATCTCAAAACCATAAACTAGGTGTTAGAGAACAGGGTAACTCTGGTTGACTATAAGAGAAGAGTAAAATATTGCTTCAGTGTATTGATTAAATATTGAAGAGAAAACATTGGATTGGTGTAACACTGGTTAAAGGATTTGTGGGTTATTGCAGTCTGCTGCACATTAGAGCATTAATATTCTAGGCTGAGTAAATGTTAAGTGTCCTACATTTGATTGCAGTGCATTTTAGTGGATTTTCAAAAGCATTGCTCGAGGGAGGACAAAAACACTCAATTGTAGAGTGGGACTAAATGCTATTTAATTCAGTAAATAATATGTGCTTTTGCTGTGTGGAAATTACCATTAACCATGACACCAACGTTAAATGACCAATAAAATATTATTAAATATTATTCAATTCTTTAAAATAATTAATTATATTCTAGCATTTTGGTCGTGTATTTTTAACCACTGAATATTCACATTCAATAATGCAGCAACAATGTCATTCACAATGTTCTCTGAACAATAGTTTAACAATAATTTAATAGTTAACAAAATATTTAGTGTGCTCTCTGCTCTGGTTAAATGTAACTCTATGTAAATTCACTTGTTAGCATAAAATAATAACAAAAAAGGGCACAATGGCAATTAAAGCAGTATTTGGACAGTGATTCTTTATTATTAATATTGAGGTGTTGAAATAATTATGTTAAATTATGAATTGCACAGTGGAATTATCCTGATTTTAGAACTTGTTATATAGGCTACTATAGAGGGGATAACAAGTCTCACTAGGGAACAGTCCCAAAATAATTACACTTTTTGACACTTTAAAAATGAGGGGAAAATAATGAAAGAGGCACAATGACACAAAGTTGTTACTGTAATTTCTCATTTAAACCACAACGAATGACAAGCATTTTTTTATTTCAAAGGAAAACTTATTGTACCTCACTGACTGAGGGGGGAAAAAACTGAGAATAAAAAAATAATTCGTGTAAGTAGGTTACAAAGCTTTTGTCTTGTGTTAATAAAGGTAACAGCCCAGAGTAACAGGAGCAGATAGGAGGAGTTTGCGTTGCATCATCATTATTAACCGCGTGACGTTGTCAATAACTCACAACGAGGAAAGTTAAATATTGAGAAGCGGGTAAGGTGAGCTGAAACTTAGTAACTATGAGGTCAATCACAGCTTCATTTCGACACTAGCTGCATATCCACTGGCAAGCCAGGTGAGAGGCGCCTTCCAGGAAACAGCCAGATTCACTAGGACAGCTGAATGACTTGTAATTTCAAAACTCTTGCCTGTAGTTTCCACTAAGGCTTTTCTTTGCTTGCGTTGTGGAACATATCAGTTTTGCATATGATGAGCAGCGTCGGTTCACGAGAACTGCTTATAAATGTCCACTAAAGCGGATAGAGACTCACAGGTAGATGTGACCCACCTAGATACCCGCAAAGCAGAATGGGCTGAAGACACTGACGACCCGGAGGTGATGAGGACGGAGGAAGCTCCAGCGCCTCGCAGGCTCAGCCGCAGCCCGAAGTGCGCTCGCTGCAGGAATCACGGCGTCGTGTCGCGCCTCAAGGGCCACAAGCGCCTGTGTCGCTGGCGTGACTGTCAGTGCGCGAACTGTCTGCTGGTCGTAGAGAGACAGAGAGTGATGGCAGCGCAAGTCGCCCTCCGGAGACAGCAGGCCACAGAGGTTGGTTGACTAAGCAGGGTAGTTTAAAACTTTCTGTGTGCTCCGGTGGAACTAAAAAGGGTGTTGTTTGCAAACAAAGTGACACAGTTTTGTTGAAGGTTTTGAGCACGTGTGTAGCTACTTTCTTGTTGCAGACTTGAACTACAAACTATATGTACTGCAAATGATATACTGTACAGTACAGTATTTGAATTTTAGTTTTTTAT